TTTTTTCAATTGAATACGTTGAAAATTCCGTTAAAAATTTCCAACGGGCAATTCCAACGGATATCCGTTGGAAATTTTCAACGGATTTTTAACGGAAATCACCGTTGAAATGCCGTTGAAAACCGTTGAAAATCCGTTGAAAAATTTCCAACGGATAAATCCGTTGGAAAATTCGTTGGAATTTGCTGATTTTTTTGTAGTGTGTGGAAACACTTGGGGTGCATTTTTCTGATAGAATTCACGTTGTAAAAGGGAACAAACTCAGGGGGAGTTGTGTTCGTGGGTTGGATTAAGTTCGAACAAAAAATAGTTGTAACTCATGATCTTTACAAGTGAATAGAATCAGTGGTTTGTTGAAGAGTGCGTATTCGTTAACTTTTTCAATTGGTATCAGAGCGTTGGTCACTGATCGTAGGATTATTCCCTCTCATATCAGTGTGGGACGAGCAATACGCACAATGCAGATACTAAAGGAGTTACAAGCCTTTGGAAGATCGTTATTGCTTGATGCAGACAACTATGAGTATTGGAAGGTCAGGATTATGAATCTTATCAAAGGAGTTGATGAGGATGCATGGATCACATTTCAGAAGGGGTGGACGATTCCAAAAGCTGTCATTGATGGAGTGGATGTAATGTCCCGATTCCCGAATAAATTATTTAATTTAATTTCGGAAATACAATAGTGTAAAACAAGCCTCAAAATATAAGATGATTGGTATAAACATCGAATCAAAGGACAAGTGGGGCTAAAACATCGAAAAAACGAAGAAAAAATGGTTTAGACCGATCGGTCTAGAGGTAGACCGACCGGTCCAGCGAAAAACGGAGAGAAAGACACGTGATGTCGTCCCGCCCGGATGGACCAGGGTGCAGACCGGATGGTCTGCACGTTCGCGAAACAAAACGGACGGACCAACACCAGAACGGACGGTCTGGGGCTTGGGGGAAAAAGGGGCCCAAATTTCAAATTTCTGATTTTCTTCCACCTTTCGGCCGCGATTATTGCACGACGTCTCGACCCCACGCGCTACCAGCTGCCACCCCTATCTAGTGGACGACACCCTCTAGCCCTCCTGGCCACTCTAGCACCCTTAGGCCGTGAGAAGATGCCCATTTAACCGGCCTAAACAGAGTGACAAAGTCATCTTCGGGCAGAAAACTGAGACTGCGAAAAAAGAGAGAAGGAGAGAGTTGCAGGATGAACAGGGACGAGGAGAGCTCGAAGAACCTTAGAGGGGCGGGCGTAGAAGGATCCTAGAGAGTTTCAGAGCCTAGAACGACCCGTAGAACTCGCACAGGCTCGGACAAGATAACATATCGCAGAAACACCGAGTGGTTTGGATTGTGTTTGTGAGATTCTATTTTCATGATTTATGGTGTAGACTAGTGATTCTGCAAGAGTTAAGCACCTAGGAATGTTAAATATTGAGTGGGTAACGATTGGAACTGAAATCGGATCAAAATTTGGGCAAAAATGGCAGAAAATCGGACTGAATCGCGTGAGGAAGACAAAGTCCTGGGTCCCAGACCTTCAGGTCTCCGTGTGTAGACCATTCGGTCTGGGACAAGACAGATCGAACATGTAGAGCGAGCTGGGTCGACCGTTCCAGCAGGACCTAGACCGCCCGGTCTGAGAAACAAGAGAGAACGGACGTTCCGAGTGCGCGGGACCACCCGGTCTGGACTACGTAGAACGGACGGTCCGAAAAAAGCTGGACCACCCGGTCCGGACCATCTAGAACGGACGGTCCAAGACTAAAAACCGAACCAGATGCATACGCGAAGACCGGACGGTCTACTCATAGACCGACCGGTCCAGACAAACCTCAAAATGGGTGGACCATTCGGTCTACTACGTGGGCCGAACGGACTGGCTACAACCCCGACTATAGATTCAAATGGATTAAACTATAATACGGTGTTAAATTATAATCAAACGAAATAGGATAAAACAAGTATGTCGAACGAATATGAAAAAGGTAGAAGTGCATAAAAGGAAAGGAATTAAACCACAAACCGAAGTGAATACGAAAGATAAAATCTAGAGAAAAACTCGGAAATAGTGATATAGATATAATGGATAAATAGTTATGATGATGCATGTGATTGAATGAGTAATGGAACCCGTACTTAGTACCAGTTGACGGCGTGAGTCAGTACTAGTACGGAGACGTGTGGATATGGAACCAGTGCTGGTTGACGACCTTGGAGTCAACACTGGTGTGGGTTTCGGTAGTTGTACCAGTTGACGAACTTGGAGTCAGTACTATTACAAAAATGTAACACTAGTACAGGTTGACGATGTGGAGTCAGTACTTGTGTTGTTGTGTGGACGTTTCCATAGCGGTGCCGGTCGACGAAGAGGAGTCAGTACCGTCATGGGAATGTGTAGTGAAGCTAGTACCGGTTGACGACGTGGAGTCAGTACTAGTGAATCTGTGTGGTCGTCTCTGTAATAGTACCGGTTGACGATGTGGAGTCAGTACTATTACAGAGAAGCAGGGTGGAATCTAGTACCGGTAGACGAATTGAGTCAGTACTAGATGAGACCGAAAGGAAATGGTACCTGATGGTGCCGGTTGACGACTTGAGTCAGTACTGTCAAGTATCAGAAATGCATGGGATAATGATAATGAATTAAAATGATTATTGAGAAAATATTGAATGGATAAAATAAGAAAATTCTTGTATTGAGAGATTAGTTGGCACCGTTCTCCATGAGAATGGGCTCTCCGGGCTCAACCTGAGCCATTCACTAAGCATTATGCTTAGCCCTCCGTTGTTGAATTTTTCAGATCCCGAGGAGCTCGAGTAGCGCACTTGTGACGGCGACGACCTGGGAAAAGTAACATCATGTACGAACATTTTATCTTTCTTTCGTATGTTTTGGACTGTGGAACAAGGTTCCATGTGAAGACGGATGTGTTTAATTACGTTTTTGGACATGTGTTGTTTTTAAGCAACGTGTGGTGTGTTTATTCCGCAGCGTATCTTTATGAAAAATGATTTGTAATTTCCCGTACTTTCGGTTTTATTATATTTTATTGATTTCGTCCATGTGGCATATCCTGTTCACGGGATACGAGATTCGGGTGTCACAACTTTTGGTATCAGAGCAACGTTCCATCCACGGGAAAGAACAACTCCTTACCTTAAGGTTTTACACTGACAAATGTTTTTTTATAATCATTTCTAAAAGTAAACCGTTTTACAAAGGACCGTACATGATGATGCTCTACTAGTCGTCATTGACTAAGTATAAACACGTGGTGCAGTGAAATGGCACCACGACGTGCTCGGTCAATAACAGGAGATAACAGTGCCTAACCATGACCCTCGTACTGATGGGCTTAAGAAGTTCCAAGAAGAGATGCGGAACGAGCCGAGGAACGAGTTGCGGGTGTTCCAGGAGGCAATGATGCAAACGCTGAGGGCGCACATCTCGCCTCCACCACCGGCAAGAGAACCGGAGCCCATGGGGGAGGACTTACATCTACCACCACCTGTGGACCCAGCAGTCAGGGAGTATCTTCCTTTCATCCGGGAATTGCGAGCCATGCATACTCCGCGCTTCGAAGGCTCACTGAGTCCGGAAGCTGCAGAAGAGTGGCTAATTACCATTGCTCGAGACTTGGAATATATCCAATGCCCTCATCGCCACCGAGCTATGATAGCGAGCCATCACCTGGCGCGGCAGGCTCGACACTGGTGGGAGAAGGTAGTGCAGGAGATGCCCGAAGGACACCGCTTTACCTATGGCCACCAGAACCAGGAACACCGTTATACGAAATTCTTGCAGCTGCAACAAGGGAACATGACGGTACGCGAATATGAAGCGGAGTTCACCCGTTTGCTGACCTATGAAGGACATCTGGTGCCTACGGAGAGGACAAAGATCCAAAAGTTCATTGCTGGACTGCGACCCTATCTTCGCAGGAAGATAGAACTCCACGAGTACCAACGCTAAGTCGCTACATCAGCCAGCTGGTGAAGGCGAAGCGAGGAGAAAAGGAAGAGAAGGAGGAGCGCATCCGAGATCGGAGCCCTTATAGGCGATTCTCTGACACCCGACCTTCGGGAAAGGTCAGCCAGACGAGTCAGAGTAGCCAGACACGTGACAAGGGGAAAGCACCAGCTAGTGGCGTGCTACCGCTACCACTACCTTACCGGGGACCGCTGACCTGTTTCTGATGCCAACAGCCGGGAAACTTTGCGGCCAATTGCACAGCACCCGCAGATACCTTGCCGGTGGTCAGACCACCACGACCACCACCGAGGGCTGGAGCAGCCCCGAGAGTTTATGCTCTTGAGGCTGAGGCAGAGGCACAAGAGGAGGAGACCAATCTCGTAGATGACGAAGCTACAACCATTGCAGGTACCCTTCACCTTTGCGATGTTGAATGCTATACATTGTTTGATACTGGGGCTACCCATAGTTTCTTGAGCTTAGAGAAAGCAAATAAACTAGGCATGGATCAGATAGATATGAAGAGTGACTTTATTGTTCGCACACCATCGGGAGAGACACTTCTGGTACATGGGACCCTCCGAGGTGTACCACTGGGTATCTATGGTCGTAACTTAACCGCAGACCTCATAGTGGTGCCGATTGATGGTTCTAGCGTCATACTGGGCATGGATTGGTTGTCGAAGCACCGAGCTCAAATTGATTGCCAGAAGAGGACTATATGGTTTACGGATACAAGCGGTGGGTTTGAATTTCGAGGGAGAGGAGCACCGTCGACAAACCCCATCATTTCGGCGCTCAAGACTGAAAAGATGATCAGGAAGGGAAATGAAGCATTCCTAGTAGTCATCACTGCTACCCAAGAACTGGAACACAAGTTAGAGGATACTCCAATTGCTCGAGAGTTCCCTGATGTCTTCCCGGATGATTTACCAGGATTACCGCCCAACCGAGAGGTGGACTTCACCATTGATGTGCTACCGAGTACCGAACCAATTACCAAGGTTCCTATCGGATGACACCGACAGAAATGGCGGAGTTGAAGGAACAGTTGAACGAATTGATGGAAAAGGGGTTCATACGCCCTAGCGTGTCGCCTTGGGGAGCCAGTGTTGTTCGTGAAGAAGAATGATGGGAGCATGGGATTGTGCATTGACTACCGGGGGCTCAACTAGGTGACAATAAAAAATCGGTACCCGTTGCCGAGAATTAATGAGCTGCTAGATCAACTTCAAGGAGCTAAGTGGTTCTCGAAGATCGATCTGCGATCTGGATACCACCAAATTCAGGTTAAGGCTGAGAACATACAGAAGACAACATTTCGAACTCGATATGGGCACTTTGAATTTGTGGTCATGCAATTTGGACTCACGAATGCCCCCACAGTATTTATGCAGCTGATGAATCGTCTCTTCATGGATTATCTAGACGAGTTTGTCATCATATTCATCGATGACATTCTTATCTATTCGCCAGATCTCCAGACTCATGAGGAGCACTTGTGGAAAACACTGTGGAGATTAAGAGAGAACAAGTTGTATGCGAAGTTCAGCAAGTGCAACTTCTGGTTACAGGAGATTGGATTTCTAGGTCATGTGGTATCCGCTCAGGGAATCCAGGTAGATCCAGCTAAGATCGAGGCAGTCATGGATTGAAAACCCCAACCTCTGCAACCAAAATTAGGAGTTTTCTAGGCCTCGCGGGTTATTACCGAAGGTTTGTGGAAGGGTTTGCTAAGATAGCCCGACCCCTGACAAAGCTCACCGGGAAAAACATTAAGTTTGAATGGACCACGCAACATTGACACGTGAAACACATCGTGGATGTTACCCAGCTCTTACGGTAATCCAAGACGATATGCCACGGCTCCTACTCTCGCGATCACAGGGTAAGGTTCGATGTATCACGATTTCAGCTTCCCGCTCTGTCCGAACCTCGCATGTCCCCACATCACCTGAACTCGGAGGAAAGCATAGTCTCCGACTTCTAGCACGAAGTCCCACCTATGTTGATCGGCATACGATTTCTGCCTGTCCTGCACTGTCTTTAGATGGGCACGAATCCTCCTTATCACCTCCGTGGTCTCTTCCACGATTTCTGGCCCGAATTCTCTACGCTCTCTGATCTCCGTCCAGCACAGTGGTGTTTTGCACGGTCTTCCGTACAAGGCCTCGTATGGAGATACCCCGATGCTCGTGTGATGACTGTTTTGTACGCAAACTCACACAATGTCATATATCAGTCCCAGGGAACTCCCAACTCCATGATACATGCTCTGTGTTGGGTTCCTGGGGGTTCCTAGCATGCGATCTCATCGATCTAGGGTTTGGTTTTAGGTTTCATGCAGCGGAAGAAAAAGATCTAAACCTAGCCAAACGTCACACAAAAACCAATTGTGCAATAACCTGAAAGAACGTGTATATCACCGTGGAAATCGTATACTTATCTCTTTCCTGAAGAAACAGAAGTAAGAGTCGATCCGGGGCCTGTTTAATCACCTAGGACTGAAGTTACAGTCCCTCTACATGTATCCACACCGACGGAAAGGATTCCAAATGCTTTTGGAACCGATCTGCTAGGATCTGTGAAGTATATATCAAGTGAGATCTAATCCCGGGAGCTAAAACTATTAAAGAAACGATTTCTTCTGAGTTTTTGCTCTGTCTTTGGGTTCTGAAAGTGAGTTATACTCTTAGGACGGTGTCCAACACCTCCTTATCAGTTAGAAACTCTAATCCTTGTGAAAAGAGACTTTTTCCGAGTATTGACTCGGTC